CACGCACACACGCACCCCTCCTTCCCTTACCATCTCATGGCCCCAGGCACACGTGTGTTCACTCATTCACTTATTCCCCAATTGGGTGAATGAATGAGTGAGTGAATGAATGCATGCATGAGCCGGTGAGCTGAATGGATACATGAATGTCGGAATGAATGAATGCATGTGTGAATGCGTGCGTGTGTGAATGAATAAATGCATGTGTGGGCCCAGGAGTGGGCCTGGGTCAAGCGTGAGTGAATGAATGAATGAATGAATGCCTGTATGTGCCAAGGAATGGGTGAATGAATGAATGAGTGAATGAGTGGGTGAGTGAATGAGGGAATGTATGTGTGCATGGTTCAATGAGTGGGTGAATGAATGAATGAGTGAATGCCTGTATGTGCCAAGGAATGGGTGAATGAATGAATGAGTGAATGAGTGGGTGAGTGAATGAGTGAATGTATGTGTGCATGGTTCAATGGGTGGTTGAATGAATGAATGAGTGAATGCTTGTATGTGTCCAGGAGTGGGTGAATGAATGAATGTACAAATGAATGTGTGCATGGTTCAATGGGTGGTTGAGTGAATGAATGAGTAAATGTGTGAGTGAATGAATGAATGAGTGAATGCTTGTATGTGTCCAGGAGTGGGTGAATGAATGAATGTACAAATGAATGTGTGCATGGTTCAATGGGTGGTTGAGTGAATGAATGAGTAAATGTGTGAGTGAATGAATGAATGAGTGAATGTATGTGTGCATGGTTCAATGGGTGGTTGAGTGAATGAATGAATGGGTGAATCAGTGAGTGAAAGAATGATTGAGTGAATGTATGTGTGCATAGTTCAATGGATGGGTGAATGAATGAATGAGTGAATGAGTGGGTGAATGAATGAGTGAATGTATGTGTGTGCATGATTCAATGCGTGTTTGAATGAATGAATGAATGAGTGAATGGCTGAGTGAATGAATGAATGAGTGGATGGATCAAGAAGTGGGTGAATAAATGAATGTGTGAATGCGTGCATGCATGGATCAATGCGTGGTTGAATGAATGAATGAATGAATGAATCAGTGGGTGAATGAATGAATGAATGGATGGATCAAGATGTGGGTGAATGAATGAATGAGTGAATTATGGGTGAATGAGTGAATGAGTGAATCAGTGGGTGAGTGTATGAATGAATGAATGGATGGATCAAGACGTAGGCGAATGAATGAATGTGTGAATGCGTGAGTGCCTGGGCCAATGAGTGGGTGAATGAGTGACTCGCACACACATGCCTTCATTCATTCATTTAACCTTTTATTGATTCCAGAGAGGAAAGGAGAGAGAGAGAGAGAGAGGGAGAGAGGGAGAGAGAGAGAGAGAGAGAGAGAAACTCCCATGAGGAGAGAGAACCATGGATCGGTCGCCTCCTGCACGCCCCCTCCTGGGGATCCAGCCCACCACCCCAGGGCCTGTGCCCCTGACTGGGAATCGAACCCGGGACCTCCTGGTTCACAGGTCCACGGTTCACTCATTCACTCATTCATCACTCATTCATTCATTCACCCACCCACCCATTGAACCATGAATGTATGTATTCACTCATTCATTCATTCAACCACTCATTGAACCATGAATGTATGTATTCACTCAATCATTCACTCATTCATTCATTCACCCCCCCCACTGAACCATGAATGTATGTATTCACTCATTCATTCACTCATTCACTGAACCATGAATGTATGTATTCACTCATTCATTCATTCATTCACTCATTCATTCATTCACCCCCCACTGAACCATGAGTGTATGTATTCACTCATTCATTCACTCACCCACTGAACCATGAATGTGTGTATTCACTCATTCATTCATTCATCCACCCACCCACCCACTGAACCATGAATGTATGTATTCACCCATTCATTCATTCACCCGCCCTCCCACCCACTGAACCATGAGTGTATGTATTCACTCATTCATTCACTTACCCACTGAACCATGAATGTGTGTATTCACTCATTCATTCACTCATTCATTCATCCACCCACCCACCCACTGAACCATGAATGTATGCATTCACTCATTCATTCATTCACCCACTCACTGAACCATGCACACATGCATTCATCCACCCATCCATCCATCCTTTCAATGAGTTCAATGAGTCAAGAGTGGGTGAATGAATGAATGAGTGAATACATATATTCATGGATCAGTGGGTGGGTGGGTGAATGAATGAATGAGTGAATGAGTGGGTGAATCAATGAATGAGTGAATGTATGTGTGCATGGTTCCATGGGTGGTTGAACGAAAGAATGAATGAGTGAGTCAGGGGGTGAATGAGTGAATGTGTGAATGCATGCGTGCACGGGTCAGTCCGTGGGTGAACGAATGAATGAGCGAATGTATGTGTGCGTGGTTCAAGGCGTGTTTGGGTGAATGAATGAGTGAATGACGGAGTGAATGAATGAATGACTGAATGAATGAATGACTGAATGAATGGCTGAGTGAATGAATGAATGTGTGCCATTCTGGGCCAATGCGTGGGTGAATGAGTGACTCGCACACACTTGCATTCACTCATTTATTTAACCTTTTATTGATTCCAGAAAGGAAAGGAGAGAGAGAGAGAGAGAGAGAGAGATATTCATTCATTCATTCACCAACTGAACCATGCACGCATGTATTCACTCATTCATTCACACATTGAACCATGAATGTATGTATTCACTCATTCATTCACTCATTCATTCATTCACCCACCCATTGAACCATGAATGTATGTATTCACTCATTCATTCATTCATTCATCCACCCACCCATTGACCATGAATGTATGCATTCACTCATTCACCCACCCACCCACTGAACCATGAATGTATGCATTCACTCATTCATTCACTCACTCATTCATTCACCCACCTATTGAACCATGAATGTATGTATTCACTCATTCATTCATTCATTCATTCATCCACCCACCCACTGAACCATGAATGTATGTATTCACTCATTCATTCATTCATTCACTCACCCACCCACCCACTGAACCATGAATGTATGTATTCACTCATTCATTCACTCACTCATTCACTCACCCACCCATTGAACCATGAATGTATGTATTCACTCATTCACACATTCACTCATTCATTTAACCTTTTATTGATTCCAGAGAGGAAAGGAGAGGGAGAGGGAGAGGTAGAGAGAGAGAGAGGAGACAGAGAGAGAGAGAGAGACAATCATGGATCCACTATCTCCTTCACGGCCTCCCCCCAGGGCCTGTGCCCTTGACCGGGAATCGAACCCGGGACCTCCTGGTTCACAGGTCCACGCCCAACCACTGAGCCACCCCAGCCAGGCCCCTTTGCTCCTGCGTTCCTTCCTTCCTTCCTTCCTTCCTTCCTTCCTTCCTTCCTTCCTTCCTTCCTTCCTTCCTTCCTTCCTTCCTTCCTTCCTTCCCTCCTCTGATCCCTGCACCCATGACCCTTCCCCTCCACTCCCCAAGATTCCCGGATTCCTGCCAGGTCCCCGGATGGACAGCTTTCCCCTCCAGCCAGAGGCCCTCCCTGCAGGCAGACAGCACAGCGCGCCCCAGCTGGCCCCGCGCCCGGAGCCCTGAGGCCATCGGCAAACATTTGCTTTGGGGCCAGCTGGGGAAAGGTGACATGTCCCAACTCAGAAACCAACCAGCATCCAGCGCCTCAGGGAACGGGGTGGGGAGAGGGGGTGGGGAGAGGGAGGCCGGGGGCTGGGATTGGAATGCGAGGCATCTCTGGGGCCCCTCGGGCAGGCCCCTCCCCAGTTGCGCGGGGGGCGCGGGCTGGAGCGCAAGGCGCGCGCGCGGGTGGCGAGGTTTGGCGACCCCCTCCCCACCCCCCTCTGTGCGCTCTTGCGAGAGCGCGCGTAACAGGCCGGTTTGGGGAGTGTCCAGGGCTCCGGGACAGCGGCCAAATCGCAGGCCCCTGGACACTGGGCCTTCTCCCAGAGGCCTCCCAAAGGCAGGCGAGGCGCTGGGGGAGGGACTCCACGCGCCCAAGAGACCCCGAGAGCGAGCGCAAGAGGTAACTGGAGACCTGGGGGTGCGCAGACGTGTTGCGCGCGGGGCCGGGGGACCCGGGGAGGAGATCAGGGGCGCAGGGGGGCTGCCCGGGGGCAGAGGAGGGGCTGGGGGAGGGACTAAACGCACCTGAGAGACCCCCGAGAGCGAGCGCAAGAGGTAACTGGAGACCTGGGGGCGCGCGCGGGGGAGGGGGGCGTGGAGACGCGTTGCCCGCGGGGCCCGGGACCCGGGGAGGAGATCAGGGGCGCGGGGGGCTGCCCGGGGGCAGAGGAGAAGCTGGGGGAGGGACACCACGTGCCCAAGAGACCAGGGCGAACCCGAGGGCTCGGGCAGGAGGGAACTGGAGACCTGGGGGCGCGCGCGGGGGAGGGTGGGGAGTGGAGACGCGTTGCGCGCGGGGCTGGGGGACCCGGGGAGGAGATCAGGGGCGCAGGGGGCTGCCCGGGTGCAGAGGAGGGGCGAGGAGGGGAGGCGCAAAGGCGGATCTAAAGTTCAAAGAGTTGACCAGGCGGGTCGGGGAGGGCCCTGGGCCGGGTTTTGGGGAGCTAGTGGGCCCCCGAGGCACCTGGCAGGGCGCAGCGGGAGGCAGAGGACTGGCAGGGGGTCCAGGGGGTGAGGGGAGGGGACCCCGGGCGGAAGGGAGAGGGTGTCCAACCCCCATCCCCATCCCCATCCTCACCCCGGAGCGCGCAGGAGGGAACTGGAGACGTGGGCGCGCGGGGCTGGGGGACCCGGGGAGGAGATCAGGGGCGCAGGGGGGCTGCTCGGGGCAGAGGAGGGGCGAGGAGGGGAGGCGCATGGCCAGGGAGGTGGCCTGTGGGGCGCGGGGGCCACGGGGCCTGGGGCAGGGCTGGTGGGTGGGAGCCTCAGCAGCCGCGGGTGTGCCCCCCGCAGGCCCGGGACGCGTGGACAGGACGCGGGCCCCACGAGGGTGCCGAAGGCGCAGGGAGACTCGCACC